AGCTGACCCCTTAGCAGAGCTGTCACCGCAAAGACAACCTCCTCCCCCACTAGCACCTGGCCGGGCCAGCTCCCGTCACTCTTCTGTTCCTCAGGACACCATGGTTTCCATGGGAACCCACTCACTTCAAAGGGGAACGAAGGAGACTGGAGGGGAGGAGGGAGAGCAAAAGCCAGATTAACCTCACCGTCTTGGCCCTGTCTCTGCGCTGCTGGCAGCCTAATCCCCGGGCCTCCAACAGCACCTAACACCCGACGCACCACCGTCCACCAGCATGGGCAGATGGGGTGTGTGGTCCAAGCGAAGTTTGAACCACTTTGGGGAAAACCGCAGGGTTGACATGGAGGCTGAGGAAGGAGAGAACTGAGCTGCATCCAAGTCTGTGGTCCCAACTCCATGGGCCTCCCCTCCTCAGACCCCCTCTCAGCGTTGCTCCTGGGCCATGAACACAAACAATTACCTGCGATGCGCGTCCAGTCACGGGATCTGCTCGGATTAGACTGTGATCATTAATCTGCGCAGAAGCTCCTGGCTGCCTTGCTCATTAGCCCAGATGATGCTCTGGTATGATCCAACTAAAGACTGGCTCTGCCCGTCCATCCCCCCCCTCCCCGCAACAGTTTCCACATCAGCAGGGAACCAATACATTTCATTGACACATCTGCGTACACAAACGAAACCCCCAGGCACTGGCAGCCTCCCTCCCTTTTGCCACACTGCATGCATCTCTGCAGCCCAGCAGGGGCCTGGTCCTTACTTTTCCTTCAGCTGTGGTTTGGGGAGGAGCCATGGTAGGGGCCCCCAAAAGTCAGTGCTGGGGCACTAAGCTGAATGGAAAGGGTCTTGTTACATTTATTGACATGAAATGTCGACTCCCTGATGTGCTTTGGAGCAGCCAGGCAGCCCCAGGCAGGCAAATCTAATTAAAATTACCCGACCCCACAGGAGGCTGAGCTCCCTGCCTGGTCATCCCTGGCAATGGCTACAGAGAGGCCGGCTGGTACTAATGGGAGAGGTGTGGTTGTGGGAGACAGGCCTGGGGCTGCTGGGCCAGGCGGAAGCAGCAGGACTGGAGAGACAGAAGCTAGGCATGCTGTTGATGTCAGCTCCAGTGTCCTGAGAAGCTGGGGCAGCCGTGTTTGCCTGGGATTCCCTCTTCAGGGTCACACAGCTGCAGACGTACTTGGGCCAACACCAAGGGCAGTGGCGTGGTTAGCCCCATGGGAGAAGGTAAAGCTCAGAGGGAAGGTAAGCAGAAAGAAGTGTGGGTTGAAGGAAGATCTGGGCCCTACTTCACGTGTGACATAATGGTGGGCAGCACCCATGAGGGTGGTGACCCACCTCCCCTATAGCTTGGCTCGGGTGGGTATGAGCCTGGGATCTGGGGAAGGGCTTTGGAGCCCATGGATCCCATTGGTGTGACCGAGGAGACCCATCTGCTTTGTGCCAGACACAGTGCCAGCTGCTCACATGAGCTGTCACATCAATTCCTATCAAACCCACTGTTTAGGATCTATCACAAAACTAAAACTCTGAGAGACTGGGACACTGTGGAGACAGGACTCAAGCCTAGGTTTCCAGAAACTCTGTTACACCACTAATCTGGGGGTCTCTCTAGA